GTTTCTAGAGAATAAAGAAATATAAATCAAGCATGTTTCTGTTGTTGCTTCTGTTTCATGTGTATCAGACATTTTGGTGGTAATTTAATGGTTTAGCCCCGTTAGAGACATCTGTTTGTATTTTCTTAGATTTTTCTTGTCCTTATTCCCCACAGTTGGCTGAAAGTTTGCGAAAATTATCTCTGGATCTCTAGCAGAAGTCCCCATTTCTGCTAACAATTACTGGTTCAGTATCAGTTTGTTTCGTTATTTTTATAGCAGTTTCCTCCCCACCAAACACCTTTTAGAGATGCCTCTGCTTTACTTCTGTCTCTACATTTGAGAAGATTGTTGCTCAAGATAGGCAAAGACCATTTTGATCAAGTTGTTCCACGTGTACACTATACTTTAGGATTTATATTGGTATTAAAGTATTACATACTATCTAACTGGCTCACTTCACCAAATCTGAATACATTTAAAAAATAGTTTTGCTCTTTTTTAAATGATGTCACTTTATATCAGTGCTAAAGCAACAAGTTGATGCTATACTCAAAAATTATATGCATAATTTTCCTGGGTCACATTTTTATGTCATTTTATTTTAGCTACTTTAAGAAGAGATGATTCTATTATTTCAAGTCCGGATGTCACTGATATTGCGCCAAGTAGAAAGAGGAGGCAGCGGATGCAAAAAAATTGTGGGACAGAACCTAAAATGGCTTCTCAGGAGCATCAGCTTCAAGAAAAGGAAAAGTAAGTCATTTTATTCTTTGCCAAATAGTAAGATGGCATTAAAAAAATCTAGTACATAATCTTAAAATTATATTTTTATTTCTGAATTTACTTAAGGCTATTTATCATAAAATGTTTAAAGCCATGCATTTTCTCTGGTAGTTGGTTAATTCCTATTAATATTTAAAGCAGAAGTGCTAAAAATATGAGCACAATTTTTTTATATGTTAGAGATTAATTAGAAATGGCATATAGAAAACTAAAAATATTAAAATCCAGCTTGTGTTCAGTAAAATATTTCAATCTAATTTACTGCCTTAAAGAGACTCATAGCACTCAACTTAGCCACTTGGTTTGGTTATGGTTGGTGTTTTTTCAAGTAAAATGTCTCTTTCTAGTCATCGATTTGTTCTATTAAATTTTGGAGTTATATACTCTATTTTCACTGGTTTTCATTTTTTGGTTCAAATTACCCTTCAGTCTACATCCCAATTTAGTTGTAGTGAGTTGAAAAAAGTTGGGATAATTAACATTTCAGTACAGCAAAACAATCTGCATTTATAAAGAGCATTATCAATTGAATCCAAAATGAATGTACAAATCATTTGCACTTTTGGATATATGTTTATATTTATATTTATATTTAATAGACATACATCGTAAGTATTTCTTTTTCTCTAAACTTTTCATTAGTTTAGTAAATGGTAATTGAACTGTAGCCTTGTGACAGATGATATTACACACCACTGGTTTTCAAAGTGTAGAATTAGGATGCTGGGCGTTCCCAAGGCTCTTTGTGGTGATCCACAAGGTCATTGCTTCTTCAGTTCCATAACTGTGTGAAGCTAGAATTTCTTTACATGTTTCAATAAAAATAACTTGTCATATCTGTTTGAATGCAGAAGCTAATGAGAATCTAACTGTTTTCATTCAAGCCTGCCATCAAACAGATGTGCAAAAAACATTGCCTTCATAAGATTTTTAGTTTGGGAGATATAAGGATTTCTATAAAGAATATGCTATGCATGTTATTATATATGGGATTTATTACTCTTTTTAAGTTCATTTATGTATCTATTAAAATGTTCTCAGTTTTAATTTTGAATATGGCAAATATAGCCCACATGAACAAAAGCTCTTGATATCATCAAGAGCTTCCAAAAGCACAAAGGGGTCCTGAAAGCAGAAAGTTTTAAGATTCTTTTATAGACAATGAGGATGCCAAGATAGGCACAACTCATGCCTTCTGGAAACTAACAGTGTGACAAGAGGGAGTTTTTGAATTTCTTGTGTAATAATAAGCATTGAACAGTTAATAGTGGAATTGTTTTTGTCTATTTATCATTGGGCGTTTATTCTCTCCACAATTGGCCTGATGTACTTAGACTTGAAAATGCTGCCTGTATATTACACTGTGTCCCTTACGTCTTCAGACAATACATACATGTGCAAATCCAGTGTGTGCTAAACTCTTACTAGTTTATGTTTATCACTTGAATTTATTCCTTAGCTCATAACCCTCTGGCTTCATAGAGTTCAAGGTATTGTATTATTTCTTTCAAATATTGAACCAAAAATATTTCCAATTTGCAAACATTAGAGTACCAAAACTATTTCTATAGATTAATATGAGAAAAAATAAAATTATAAGAAGCTTGAAATATTCAGAAAACTGTATTCAGTCAATCTGTAAGCAGATGAGTAATGAGTATCAGTTATGTGCCAGGTTTAATATTGGATGTTCAAGATTCAGGAGAATAGAAAATAGACATAACTCTTGTCCTCAGGAAATTTTTGGTCCAGGGTCTGGAGGAAGGAATGGAATTTGTTGGTTTTAAGTTGGAAAGCTCATCTTGGGTCTTTTCATTCTATGTGTGAAGTAAATATAAGGGTTTGAGGTTGCTAGCATTTTCTGAACATGCTATATTGCTTAAATAGGTTTCTTAAATCCATGGTACAGAGATGAAAGAAGTTTTGATCCAAATCAAGATAAAATATTTTATTTAGGCTCTTTAATAAAGGCAATGTGTTTGTTTCTACTAGCACATATGCAGGTCATATCGTGCTCCTTTTGTTCGGATGATCATGTCAATATTTATTTCGTATATTTTCACTATTTCAAAAGTTGACATAAACAATTTCACTGTTCTTGAATTGTATGGTAATTATATCATTGTGGACTTAGGCTCATCTGTTTCTAAGTAGAAATGAAAAGCATATGTTAGATATCAGGAAGCATTTTAGAGAATAACGAAAATTTGGTTAAGTGTTTATCAGTCAGATGCTGAATGGTTGATACCCACTTTACAATTTCTCTTCCTTTGCCCAAATAAAACAAAAAGATGAATTCTATGTTTTGTTCATATTTTATTTTGTATACTTTTGAGATTTTTTTCCACTTTAAATATAGCCTACTGAAATTTTATGGCTCATAAAATTTCAAGTACTAGTTCTACTTTCCCAGTTCTTTTCATTAAAAAAAAACTACAAAGCTTTTACAAGACAAAAACAAGCCCTTAACTGTAAAGAAAACTTAGAAAAAGGCCTTAGAAGTTGATGACAAGTAGTGATCAAATATGAACAATTAATACTTATTTTCTGTTTTCAATTTAAACTGCTACCTATTTCCTGCCTTTCTAATCGCCTTTTTTCTCTGATAACTTCTCATCAACAACACGTACAGCAGTTAGGTTGATACACTTAGCTGTAGCCTCCCAAACAAATGCAGATGTGGTTAGTTTTCCATTTAGGGGTGAAAAAAGATAATGGCCCATAACCCTAAACTTGGGAGTTCCCTTGGCTAATTTTGAACAAATTCTGTGACCTCTAGTTTCTTCAGACATTTCCAGTGGGCATCTTCCATAATTTTTCTTTGTTTCACTTCTCTTGGCTTCTCCAGCTGCGTGTCTCAGGAAAAAAATGAAGGGGGAAGTGATGATCTTAGATACTTATGGTTCAGTTTTTCTGTTTCGCCTGTCGGACTTTGTGTAAGCCATTTACCTTTCTGAGATTTAATTTTCTCTTCTGTAAAAAATGAAAGGAGTGAACTAGATTATCTGTAAAATCTCTCCCAATATCTAAAATTCTATTACACTTTTAACTATTCACTACTTTCAAAACATGGATATAATTTAGTAATAAATTGCACACTTATTAGTTATTGTCAGTTAACATTCATTAAGCAGATAAAATATGGCTGTATGTTTTCTGGTGAGAAAAGTATGCATCTTTTAAATTTAGGTTTTTAGAAGCATTTCAGAATGTAAAATTTTTAGGATGTTTCTAAATATCATGGATTATTTTATACTCTTTAAAAGACTTAATACTGATCTATACTAATCTATACATACACCAATCTATAGCAATACTAATCTATAAAACAAAATCATGGAAAATTTTAAATTTACTCATTTATTTTGATACTATGTCACTGGTATAGTGACAAGGTGTAGGAGAAGAGGGTGATACAAAGATAAGTAAGAATTATGATAAATGCTTTATATGTGATCTTTCATTTAAATCTGACACAAACTCTACAAGGTAGATATTCAATTTCCCTTCTTACAGATGAAAAACAACCAAGTTTATAGTTATTTTTTCAGAGCGGCACAGCCAGTGTTTTATTTCAAAGCCTGTGCTTGATCCATTGCCTCAAGGGGCTCATAATCTATTGAGAAACAGAGATGTGCACAAATAATTTTGTGATTGCAAGAATGAAATGAGGGAACACTAGCCTTAAGGTTCTTAATTGGAATCTTTGGAGTTATATTAATTAAAAAATATGTGGTAAGTGGGAATAGTTACAGGGTATTTATTTGAATCTGAAGTCCACTTTTGATACATGTTAGAGAGGTATGCTTGGAGCTCATTGGTGGAATCTCCAGTCCCATCCCAGTAGCATGTCAATATTAGAGGTCAGAATGTGTTCTTTGTACATCACGTTTAATTTGTGTTCATGGGAAAAAGTATAATAATGTAGTTCCTTCTGAGTTAACAAGATGGCGTTATCAAATATTAATTGTAATTCAGCTGCACATGATAAAAGTTACGTTATTTTTCAGCTGAAAGAAGTAAATCAATTAAATAAATAAATAAATAATAATAAATAAGTAAATAAACTTTCAAAGTTTCTAGATAAACTATGCATATCAAATATAAAAGGAAATAAAGTTATTTTAACCAATTAAAGTAATAAATAGTTTTCACCAGAAAATGTGTCTGAAAGCTATGGAAATGTTTACCATATTCTGTAAGATATTGTTAAGGTGTTTTATGTCATATTAAAGGTGGAAAAGTGAAGTCAAGCCCCATATATTTATTTGCTTTTGATAATAAGTATGCCTAAAATTCCAGGCATTAAGATTAAACAAAATAGTGAGACCACATAGTGATGACCCAAGTTAGTCCAGTTTCTTTATTCTGACCCTTTCGTAGCTCCTTCCTATGTTTGTCCGCAGTAGAAAGACAACAAGTTTTCCCTCAGACAGATGTAAAGAACCAGGCAAAGCAAAGGTGCCTTCCCGGAGTGTCTGGGCTCTAAAACACCATTTAATGAGTAGATAACAACATGATCGTGAACCGCTGGATATCTTTCATACAGCAAAATTTAGCACATGATTTAGATTCTGTAAATAAATGTAAAAGCTATAATACAGACACTTTCTCAACAGATTGTCAGCTGTTATTTGGCAATCTGCTTAATGAAGTAAAATTCCATCTTTATATGAAAACAATTATTCTTTAGCCATGTAAGAAAATTAAGAAAATATTAACAAAAAAAAGGAAGCTAAAAAGTGCATTTGTCATAGTCACAGTGTTTATAATTAACTATTCCAGTATGTTTTTTGGAAGTTCTGAAAAACTGTTATAGCCCTAATGTCTTAAAAATAGTTTATAACTCTAGACAAACGTAATTTTCTAAGTCTCTAGGAAATAATGATACTACCTTAAGTGCAAACTACTTACTCTGGAAATACTGACCTAATTCTGTTAAATAATGTAAAAAAGATATGCTGTATAAA